TTACACCCAGTCCTCTTACTGGCTCTTTTACACCCAGTCTTCTTACTTGCTCTTTTACACCCGGTCCTCTTACCGGCTCTTTTACACCCAGTCCTCTTACTGGTTTTATTTTCAACACTTACCTGTTTTTGTTGCTGCCGTCAGCGTTTTTTAATGTGTTGCATCAGGAATGACCAAGTTTAAACATGTTAATGGTTGTCTTTGTTTCTTCGTGGTGACGATGAGTGTCGCTCGTTTCTTGCAGAGGTTATGTGATTATGTGTGTGATCTTCTCCTGGAGGAGTCCAACGTCCAGCCGGTTTCTACTCCTGTGACCGTGTGTGGAGACATTCATGGCCAGGTAAACTCTCGCACGTCATTTCTGCAGACTTACTCAAACACAGTGCTCACAGTAAACTCTCGTGTGCTTTTGTTCTAGTTTTATGATCTTTGTGAACTCTTCCGAACCGGTGGCCAGGTCCCTGACACAAATTACATCTTCATGGTTTGTTTTTTGTCTGATTGAACTGAACAGTCCTCTTATTCAGCTCTGTGTCCGAGCACATGTAACGGACATGTGTCCTCTGCAGGGAGACTTTGTTGACAGAGGATATTACAGCTTGGAGACGTTTACCTATCTGCTGGTGCTGAAGGCTAAATGGCCCGACCGCATCACTCTCCTCCGTGGAAACCATGAGAGCAGACAGATCACCCAGGTGTATGGCTTTTATGGTGAGCCCAGATGTTTGCAGTGTGTTGATCTGCAGGGACGGCCTTCACTTCTAATCTTTTGTTGTTTTACAGATGAGTGCCAGACCAAGTATGGAAATGCCAATGCGTGGCGTTATTGCACCAAGGTGTTTGATATGTTGACAGTTGCAGCTGTAAGTATCGATGTTTTCATGCTTGTTCACTTCATCTTTTGGCCTTTTTGAAGTAGGGTTGTGTGGAAAAGTTACAAACAGTATCTTACCTGTCGTGCATACGGTATCACATTGAACTATGTCGTTTTGGAAAAACGGTTTATTCTGCCTGGATTGATGAGCTAATGGCTAGTCTGAACGTAGCTCAAACCAAAGTGACTTGCTGCTGTTTCAACCCTCAGGCCTGGGGGGTCGTTTTGACCCCAGGGCAGCAGGAGGATAACGTGACACCAGACTGCAGAGTGTCATTAAACGTGTGCACCGTTTCATAGACCTTCACTTCTGCTTCAGATATTTGCATGCAGTTCTGTTACTCGCCAGGGAAAATGGTGGCAGCAGCAGCTGGCTGTAGCTTTTCCAACAGGATATTGTTTTTTGCCACAATCATCATCTAATGCAACACTGACGACAACATCAAGGTTCTCAAAACGTGCGCTTCCATGTCAAAGGCATTTGGAAAGTGTTCTTCTTTATGGTGTTGGCTTCTTTCTGTGAAGCTGTTGGCGTCATCGCTCATAAAGTTGCTACACGGTTCAGACATTGCTACCCAAACAGTAAAGCGTGAGTTCTTCAATCTACCCAGAGCAAGAATGTAGCGGTAACACGTGGGAGAGTCTTTTCTTTTCAGCAGTGTGGTTTGAAGCTGTCAGACAGCTGTGGAGCCTCGTTTGGTCACGCCCACTCAGGACAGGGCGGAGCTTTCGAAACAACGTGGACACCAAAACACCACTGTTTCCTTTATTCATGGAAAAGTGACGCACGTGTGGTCAGGGTTTACTGTCAGGAAGATGCAGCGAGGGTGGAGGACGTCTCAGAATACAACCACTGATTATTACAATGACAGGTTTGTACGTTTTAAAGTGGCACTTCAAACAGCTGATCAGGACTGATGCTGTTAGCGTGCAGCATTAAGCTCTGTCTGCTGCTCACTTTAAAATGAGCCCCAGCTTTCATCTTCATGATGATCCAGCTGTGGATGAGCTGAGGTTCTTCTGTCTTCCTTCGGTTTCTCTGCTTGAAGCACATGATGTTTCCCTGCTGGGATAAAGAGCGTTGTCAGATGAGTCTGTTTCATGTCTGGATTAGTATTACAAAGATTTCATATCCAGCTTTTCAGCTTTATATAGTGTTTTATTGCTTCACGATGGAAAAACAAAATGATGAAATGTTTTTGTAGGTGATCTCAGGCTGTTTTCACCAGTAATCCTCTCAATAACTAAACACTGGTGGAGGATTTGAAGGCTCTGGCAGCATATTGTTCAGAGAGCTTTTCTTTACAATTGTACATTTGTTAATGACGGGACTGCTGAACTGGAGATGCTCCGGCTGGAAGTACATGGGTGGAGCAGCATGAGTCAGAGTCAGAGATTCTTTATGGTCATTAGCACCTCATGTGGTACATGTGGTGGAGTGAAATTATGTACACAAGGTCCCAGTTACATCCAACAATAAAATGTATAAGAAAAACAGTAATA